CGGAGACTTGCCACGGTCTCCAACCCTCCTGCTTTCTCATCCGGGCTTGGGACCGGCCATGGCGGAGTTTTAAACTTGGACTTTTCAAAAATGTTTTTATTTTGAAAAACTATTTCTGACAGTTTACAACAGTGTCGTAATTCAGTTGAACCTTCTTTGGAATAGGCGCAGTGCAGCTTGATCCAGTGATGATCTAGAGCATTCACAGATGTACTTCGCTTCCTTGTGAGATAAAAAATAATCGTGACTTGTTTTCAGCGTTTACTGGGAGCAAATGCCATATAATTTAATTTTGTATATCTCATCTACTACCTTCGTGACGAAGGCGCTTTTCACATGAAACACACCAGAAATAAAGTCAGCTGCGAATCTGTTGTATTTAACCCTTTGTTTCGTCACAGTGTTCACAGAATAAAAAGCAAAACCTGTTTACGATTAAAGCGAATATTGGAGCATTGCTTATTTTGCATTAGTGATATATTAGTATTAAGTGTATTTTCTACACCACCGATGAATCATATTGTTGGCGGCAACTGGGATATGTCGCAAAGCAAATGCAAATCAATTTCTTACGCTCTCATCCAAAGTACGAATTTTACGATGTTTCATCCGAAACATTGCCCAATTCTACAGCTAATCCGGTTACAGCTCCCACTAGTCTCAGCGGGGACAAAATCCATTCAGATATTACATTTCACACAAGATTTTTAATGCTGAAACAAAGGTAGCTATGTGTTATTCTTTTGTCACATCTATAAACATCCACAGCGAAATTATAATTTTCTGCTCCTAGTAGCCTATGACCATTTAAGCAGGTCGCGACGATGTCTCAGTACTTAAATGGCGTAAGTGCAAAATCGCACCACTCATTTACGTTAAAGTATCCTGTTGAAGCATTAACGGGTATGTTTCGATCCGAAGGCACATATAAACAAAATTAATCCCCATACTGATTATTACTACTATCTTGATGTTTCTCGATTCCGTCAGCATGAATAACGGTTTACCGTAATTTCTCTGGATTCAGACAGCGTAGTCGCAACGTTCCCTTGCTTTTGTTCTTCAAGTTTTTATCGTCGTTTGCTGGACAGCAGCACGTCAACATTCCAGCCTATCCAAGATTAATGATATACAATATGCAGAAACAAAATTACCGTACTCAGTTCAAACATTAACCGTTTCAACAAAAGACGTTTTGACGAGCCGTTTGTCACGAGTAGATCTGCTTTTAACAGATTTCGTCAGCTTTGAAACTGGTTCCCATTCCTTCTTTTCCATTGGTCGCCTTCTGTACTGGACACGAATAACTGGCGATTTTTGCAGCTTGAAGTATTTTGCTGAACTACGGTAGGCATCCTGGTTTCTTAATTAGTTCCAAAGTGTCTTAAACTTGGTGGTTCTGATCATGTAACCGATCATTACTCAATAATGTCACTAGGATTTGATGATGTTGCGCATGTAGCATTGATAGAAAGAGTTCAGTTGATGTTTCTGGCGTTTCAGGACCGCAGATGTTTCGAGGTCATACAACAAAACTGAGAAGAGCGCTGTTTTTGGGATGGTATTCTTCGTCTTCATGGATATTGCACAGTCTCTCCAGACTTACGCAATCTCTCAGAGTTTACTTCTGAAAGTCCAATGCATCAAATGATGTTGATGACTATCTATCGTTCAAAATCACCGAATCTAAGTTCTTGAAACGGTTACCAACTTTTGTATTATTTTAATGATCACCAGAGTATCGGCTACGGCTGGTGCCCTAACCACCTTTTTGTCAGATTGACTAGTATCGAACCCTTTCTGCAATATTACGTACACAGGCAGCAAGGGTGTCCGGGTCACCGTCGGAATCCCTCACTAATGTCGTCTGCTTACTAGGTCAGAGAAATGTAGCTGAGTAAAGCCGGATGGGAAAGCTTGTATTTTGCGTCGAGTGACAGTTCTTCGCATGATGTTGTCAAATACGATGTCGAAGAACAGTAAGAAAATGACCATTTGTTTTAATACATAGGGTATCATAGAAGCAAGCTACAGCTCGATGTTATTTTAAAACTTTCAGTGCAGGAGCAGTGAGAGGTCGTTTTTACCTTTGCCCGCTGTAACGAAAACTTACAATTTATTCATTTATTTAATAACGAGGTTGCTTATTATCGGTTTGTATAAATGGTCACCTTTTAATCATTTTTAAGGGGATCTTCTGTACTATCACAGTTTGTCCGCAGCTGCTGGTGCCCGGTTTATACAAAGAAGGCGTCATGTCTTGGATAGGCAAAATTTTTGGCGGAAGTGGTAAGAAAGGAGATAAAATGCCCACTCCGCTAGAAGCGATCCAGCGACTTCGGGAAACCGAAGAAATGCTGGTCAAGAAACAGGAGTTTATGGAGAAGAAGATTGAGGAAGAAATTGCCACAGCCAAGAAACACGGCACTAAAAACAAGCGACGTAAGCTATTTGGCTTCATTCTTGAAAGCTGTTCGTTGCGTGCATTAGTATTTATCTGTATGCCAGATGTTCTTTGGTGAGCGCTCCGGCGGGAGATTCGTTCAGTATTAAAACCATTCTGAGCGGCGTATGTGTCTTTGGTATCGCTGAACACTTTGGTGAATCAGTGCGTTAGTTTGTTCGTATAAAATCTGCGGTGTACGCTGAAAACTCTTAACCAATTAATTACCCTAAAAGAGAAAGTCGTGGACGCAAAATAAAGCATTTTCCTTTGTTGTAATAGTCAATCAGTCTGTTTCGATGGCGAAACGCACAATGAATAATTTTTATAGATTGAAATAACTGAAAGCTGGGGATGCGGCGGAGGAGGGGGGG